AACTATTACTTCCTCCATTGTTGGGGTTTCTTTCTGTTATTTAGGGTGTGGCAAAGACTTTCTCTTTTAATGGGTAAAATACCTTAGAAAGGCCATAGAATTATGTGTTGGTTTTGCAGCTCTGGAGGGTTTGGCTGAAACAAATCAATGAAGAAAAAAATTAGTACTTGTTACCACTGTGAGTAATGCCGGTGGCGTAATTGTTGTTGCTATACCTGTGCAGCATAGTAATATAGTTGATCATACTTATTGTTCACAACATTAATGCTCTGTCGTCTTCAAAACGTGTTGGTGTCATTCCCCATCTGTTTGGCACTATTGAGGTTCCTCCCAGAAGACCGTGCCTGGTTTTTGGCTCTCCCTACAAGACAGGACAAACTGGAGAGGAGGAAGATGTTAAGGGGCTGGAGCACCTGGTTGGAGCAGAGGCCAGTGGCATCAGCTTTGCTCATCCTGGAGCAGCGAAGGCTGAGGAGGCAGCTGGCTGGGGTCCTCAGCCACTTGAAAGTGAAACTGCAGTGAAAGGACAGGAGAGAACAGTTGCAGTAAGGGAAACTCCAGCTGAATACAAGAAGAAATTCTCCTTGAGGGTGGTTAAGCACTGGAACAGGTTGTGGGAGGTCCTGGAAACTTATGCTTTGGAGACTTGCAGGACTTGAGTGGGCAAAGACTTCAGCAGTCTTTTTATCAGTAGTCTTCGGTGACAGTGATTAATTCTGTGTGTTTTTTATCTAAATAACCTTCTATTTTGTTACATTGCAAAACCCATATTGGCATGTGCCTTCTAATAAAAACAAGAGCTATTTCCTAATATATTTATGCCAGGAAAGGGCACTTGTCTAATCTTGTAGAGTTCTTTTAAAAAAATTGGGAAAATGGAATTAGATTCACTGCAAAACACTGAATTCTCTGTCACTCTTTACAGTTTGATTGCGAGGCCCACCTGTATTGTACATCATGAAGATAAAGTTGTCAATATAATCTAAAGCTCAGCAGTATAGTGTTATTTTGAACTAGTGGGGGTGGCGTTTGTTTTAGAGAAGATGTTTCAGGGATAAGTAAAGAATAACAGATGATTCATCTTGATCTTAAGTCTGTCTCGAGAACTTCAGTGTGATGACTGAAGAGGAGATGGCTTTTCATTATCCAGCATGAGTTTTGACTAGGACGATGATTAGGTCAAATTTACAGTTCCTCTTTATCACCTAACTTTAGAGGGTGAAGTTTTGGTAAGGAAAATTAGAAAAAAAGATATAGTCAAGTTGACTTTCTCAGGAGCTGTCTTGTCTATGTGGGGAGTCTGCCTTCAGCCCCTGCTGACTAGAACAGAGTAAGTCCTTGCTTCTAGAAATAATTTCAGAATAGGCCTTTCATTTATTTATTTTTATGAATTTTATTCAATTTTATGAATTGAACAAAGTTCACTACCACTCAGAAACCAGTTTCTTCTAGTCCCTAGAAGCTTTTCTTCCATCTCCTCTGAGGCCTGACTGTGTTTCTGGTGGTGTTGTTAGCAGTCTATGGCTTTTAGTGACTTGTGGCCTTCCTACCTTGTTGCTGCTGCACTTTTTTTTTTTTTAAATACACTGCAGTGTGCTTTCTCTGCCGGAGTGTGCTCAGATGTTCCTTCCCAGAGAGCCTCGTCTCTTGCAGGGCTGAAGCGTTTCACTGAAGGGTCAAGCTGTTAGGTTGGCTGAGCCCATCACTTCTAGAGGTGTCTTGTAGGCTTTTCATGTAGACTTGAGAGATCATTTGGAAAGTGAAGCTTACTTATCATTAAATATGTTTTTTATGCTGATGAATTCTGTGTGTTTTAGTTAATGTGCTAATATGAGCCAACTTTGATTTTTAAGGTGTTGCCTTCTTTGACACTTCCCTACAGTGAGGGAAGGTAGAGTCTTGCTATTTGTCTTACCTTTCAGAGGATGTTCTGACTCTTTATTTAGGAGTTTTGGAAGGATGAATTGTGCCATCAGCAAAGTGAGGTTTAAAAGTATAATTGTAAGCGACACATTAGTAAGATCTACTTAGATACCATCCGTGCGGAGTGTGTCGAGTCTGTGGTTTTTTGCAATCAATGTACTTCCCTTTAGTGGTAACCACTAAAAATTACCCTGGGTTCACAGTGTAATTGCAGTTTTGAGGCCAGAGGGTGAAGCCATTGACTTCCTCTGTAAAAATGGGGCAGCACTTCTAGTTGAGAAAAAACAGGTCTTTACCAGTGCTAGGGTAGTATTTTGCATACTGTTTGTTTTTGTTGTAAAAAGTTTCTTTTATCCTGTGGTTAAGAAATAAAAAGGTCTTAAATTCCAGTGTATGAAAGAATTAAGTATCATGTCAAGTCTCGTTGATGCCATGAGTAATTGCCTGTTGCATATGGACAAATTCAGACATCTGGCTTCTGCACTTTTAATCATTTACACACACGTTACATAGTGCTTTTCACATTCTGTCTAGAAATATGTTCACTTGTCTGAACTCTAGAAATAAATGGGATTTTGGAGGTGCTGCTTTCTTCAGCATGATATATTAGCTGCTTTTAGCATCTTCCTGGTCAGTACTTTGCTGTTTTGAAGTTCCTTGCTAGATGCACAGATCTGTCCATTACTGAGATAGGAACCTGAGCTCCTCACGTGGTAAATCAGCTCCAGGAGCTGCACTGCATGAAGTGAAGTGCAACCTCACCTTTGCTGTGTCTGTTTTGCGAATTTGAGCTTTTGCTCTCTAGAAAAGCATGGTTCCTACTTTTTCAGCTCTTTCGTTGTTCTTCCTTACAGACATACAGAAAATGGGGAAAGTAGAATTTAACCTACTGGAAAATGAAGATTGGTGGAAAATTTTTTTTTTACTGTTCCACCTGTACTCTTAGGATTTTTTGATGAGAATATGGCTGTAGACTCTAACTTAAGTAGTTTTAGTTTCTGTAGATTTTTTGCTTAAAGAATTCACATGAGCGTTATAAGATTGAAATTTATTAAAAGCAGTAGCTTACAGTTCTGCAAGTTTCTTTTTACTTCTGATGAGAAGATCACAGTCTGCATTTCTGTAGGACAATTTAAGGACGATAATACTATAGGATTATGGAAGAAGTATGGACTGGAATAGAGAATGGTATACAGTCCAAAAAAATTAAGTTATGGAATGTAGCTTGCGCAGTAATAACTGCTGAAGGAGTTGGGAGGCAGAATGTATGAAAATCCAAGGCCTGTGTTCTTCAGACAAAAGATCTGGTAGGAAGCAGGTGATGTAATGGAGCAAAGAAGTAAAAATTCTTGAATCTTACTTCTTTTGTGCATAGCATCAGTCTGGCTGTCTGTTAGTCCCTCTGCAGTTGCTCTTGAGCTCATTGGCCAGTGTCACATGCGTGACTGCTGTCTGACCAAAAAACTCATTCTTTACTTCATAGAGGATCTGATGGGAGGAAAGATGAGGAGGAGGAGATAGAAGACGTATGAGACCAAAGTCAGTTCTACTACTCGTTTAAGTTCTGCTACTCATGTAGCAACTTGATATGTGATTTGTTTCTAAAATAAACCTTAAGCCTTCTTAGAATTCCAAAGCTCACTGGAAAATATGTTAACTTCTTTTAAAGTGTATCATCTTCCACGTCAATCCACCTTTGAATGAATGAAGGCTTTAGTGAAAGGGTGGAAACTTTCACAGAGGTGGTGAAGAGCTTTGATCAAGTGCACACATTTTATATAACAAAAAATACTGGAATCAATTAAAGTTAGTTTCAGAATATGTCAAATGACTGATCTGATAACACTTTGTGCAAAACTGGGCTTGGTCTACATAAAAAAAATGATGGAGCAACTGAAGGAGCATTTGAATTTTTGCATTTCGTTCAATTGCTGAATTACCTGGAGAGATTACTAGATAGAGAGAGTTTATAGAGCTTAATGTTTGATTTCTTTTTTAAAAGTAAAGACTAGAGTTTGAACCTCTGAAAGCACAGCATATGGAAGCAAGGTTATAGGGTCTAAACTAAAATTTTATTTGTAAACTTGATGTACAGGGGATAGTGGTGCTTGCTTTTTTTTTTTTGAGGGGGGAGCGAGTTGTTTTTTTTTTCTGTTTCTTCGAGGTACCTCAGCTTCATCTGAAGGGGTTTATAGCGATAAATTCCATCAAAATTCATTAAACTAGCTTCTGGCACTGTTCAATTTAACCAAAATTTGAGGACAGTCAGAAGAGAAAGCTAGATGTAACAGTCACCAAGCTGTATTAGTTAACAGGCTGTTTTTATTGAACTCTTCTTCACTTAGGAGTGACAAGTGGTGATACTTGTTTCTCTGCTTCCTTCTGTGGTTGGAGTGTGATAGGAGTTCCCTGTACTGCATTATGTTGACTGTAATCAATAAAAAAAAAAATTGTCTGACAGATTTGAAAATCTAACCCATAGTAGCTTTATTTAGTAGCATGTGTCAGCTGCTATATTTACACTTTATCCCCTTACAAAATAAAAGTAGAAGTGCAAATGCGAAGAATGTTCCTCATTAGTTTCTAATGTCTTAGAATCTATGTCCCCTGTCCATACAACTACAGGAAAAAATGTGCTAATGAATCACTCCTGTTTCCTCCTCAGCAAGCTGCAGGTTTTCAGTCACTGGTGTTCTCTAAGGATCCCCATCTATAAAGAGTTATAATTTTTAAATGTCATGTTTTTAAAATTTGCTTGAAAGTAGGAATGCTGCTGTAATATTTAACAAGAGTTAGGGCTTCAAACTGCAGTGAGAAATTCAGTGCTAACAGTGCTTCCAAGTGGCACCTTTCTGTGTAGCATGGGAATAACACTAAACATGTGCGAGTTCTACTCAAGCCTTAAATTTATGAGACGACAGGTGGGAACAGGAGAAGGGCATTTGGAAAGGCTGCTGTGAAGAGTACTTTGAGATCTCTTTTGGTATGGTGGTGAAGTGGCCAAGGAGGGTGTTAGAGCTGCCTGGGCCTCGCTGGCTGGAGTGTGGCTGCCTTCAAGGAGTTTGCTCTGAGGACTTGGAGCTGTTGCTACTATGGGAAACCTCCAGTGAATTATTAAGGAATGTACCCACTGACTGCGCGTAATGTTAACTTACAGCTTTTTGTTTTCTAGGGTTTTTAGGCCATGTGCACCATGACTGATCATTACCTGAATTTCAAGAGAGCTATTCTAAAACAAAGTTAATGTTTTTTTCATTCTGAAATCTAACACCTTGAAGAACTAGTGCTCAGTGTGAAGTTGTGTACTCATGTTCAAGTCTTTCTGACCCAAGTGTTTTTTGTTGTTGAAATGGAAGCAGAATGGACATGTAACATGTTTTCTTTCTTGGTGTAAAAAGGGTGTATGCTTAATCATTATAGCATTAAAATTCCAGTCTCCTGCCTTTTTCATAATTTTTTTTTTTTTTCAATCTACATGGTTACATTTGGAGCAATGAAAGAAGTTAATATAAAGACACAGGGAAAGGTAAGACTATAGATATGTAGTGCGAAAATACCTTGTGATCTAAGATAACATCATTAAAAATAGTGCTCTGATAGTGCAGATGGCAAAGCTTAAAAT